TGTATTTTACAAAATTCCCGCACAGATTCGCGAAAATTGAAACGCAAATTGCTTTTAGAAATTTTCAAACAAGCGACTGTTTTAAATTACCTGTCCTTATCAATAAACTCTCTCTCTCAGAAGCACTCACAAGTATAATACACGAGTTTAGAGCTTTGTTGAAATCATTAAGCGAATTTCTAAAGGAGAAACTTTTAAATTTGTCTGTATTTTTTTTTGTGTGTCGGTTACACGATCACGTTGCCAATTTTCTTTTGGCAATAGATAGGGTGTGTACGTTGTTGTAAGCGCGTAATAATTCTTATTATAATAATCTATGTATTTAGGTTATTACAAATAAATATCATTACACTAATAATATTTAACAATTAATACATACTTTTGTTAAATACTGTTTAGATATTTGATTAACATTATTTTGTTTCCGTTCAGCACCCAAACTGATTCGCAATTTGGATGCCGAACGGTTAACACTAGACTCTGAGCTGAATAGTGGCAAGTAAGAATAAGAAATGTTTGCAGAACAGAAACTATATATTTGTTTTTAAAATAGAAATTATAAATTAAAAGTTAATCATAATTTGCTTGCAATTAATACAGCGGTTTCTGTTTTTGGAGCGCAAATTATAAATAAATAAACAGATTTTTGAGATGAATAAACACTTATACATGACAAATAAACAGTATATTTAAAAACTTATAGGAAATTAAACTATAAATTTATTTAGAATTAAAATATAACAAAACAAACGCACAGTGGAAATGTCACGCCCAGTAAACAATAGCAGTTGTTTACATTCACGTCGCTGTTTAATTTGACATTGTGCATGAAAAGTGAATTAAGCACCGCTGACGAGGCCAATTGATTCGCGATCGTGACCAGAAATTAAACAACTATCATTTCAATTTTAAACTTTAACTCTGTTATCATAAAAAAAAGATAAACTTGCAACGGACAGGTGTTAATCACAGTTTAGACACCTTACTACCTTACTTCTGTTTATGTCTAAATATAAGAAGGTCTTATTAAAATTAAAAGAAGTTATTATAAGAATTTAACTTTTTAAATGTTATTATAACAATCTATAATTTTTTGGCACTCAAAATTACAAATAAATATTTTTATTTAAACCTTAAATTTATTTTAACACTGTTTAGATAAGGAAATTTTATATTATTTTATAGTAAAATCCTAATTTGTGTAAGGAAATCCAAAAAGTTATCCTAAAAGTCCGTAAGTACAGAGAATTTTCTTTTTTCACGAAAAATAGCTGTTTCAAATCCGCCGAGCTTTTCTAAGAATATTTGCTATCACGTTACATATTGTAGTGGCAATCATATTTTTTGTTAATATCAAATTTAAATAAGATTTTCAATTTTATACACATTTGTTTTTTACTTATTTATTCTTTATTGACCACACTACAAAAAAACTTTTGATATAAAAGGCGGACTTAATGCATAGCATTCTCTTTCAGTTTACCTTTCGAAAAACAGAAATATAGTCGTGGGTGAAACATATTAAAAATGTAGTGGGTAAATAGTTACAGACGCATCTATATTGACTCAAAAATATTTTTCGATTGCTATTTTGATTAATCTTTTTAAAATCAATAAGATGGTCTCGTGATGGTCCCGGGACTCTCGGGATAGATGTTATAATAAAATAAATATATAACAATACAACATATTATTATATATTTATTTTATTACGTATATTATGTTATCTTATATTATAAACGGAGGCAGTTCCTATCTAAATCGTCATAGGACACTAAAAATTGAATTATAACGCAACGTTACACTGGTAGCGTAAAGCGAAATCTAATTTCATGTCGAGTATTTTTTATGTCACCACAGTATAAAATAACACATAGTATTAATTTACAGGCGTCCAAAGACTACGGTAACCCCGTTTCCATCAGACGGTTCGTATGTTTTCATCCGCGCATACATAGTAACGTAAAACCTAGTAGTTTATACAACATTTTATTTTTCATAAGTAGATTTAATTCAAATAGGTGACGTGCTGAAGAAGGGCCAAATTAAAAGTACCCGTAACCGGCGAGCGTGTATGAAAAGATTGATGAATATGGAAGAAGCGAAAGAGGTTTGTTTGAATCGAACCATTTGGCATTCTATTGTTTCTGTCTACCCTAATGAGAAACAGGCGTGACAAATATGTATTTATTTAATTCCAATAAAAAACACCATTTTCTATCATTCAATGCATATCCAGATATTTTAGTTTAACTATCAAATTCTGGATCGATTTTAATAAAATTTCTATGGAACCAATCTCGAAATACGAGTAAATTTTTTTCAGATAATAAATAGAGAATTTTCCAAGTCGGTTTATAAATGGCGGAGTTCTAAGTTAACAGACATAAAAATACAACTGAATTTAAAAACCTCTTTAATAGTTGTTTAAAAATATACTATTATATACTAAACCACGAGTAAAAATTCAGCCTCTGATATTATTCAACTTCGGTAGTTTCCGATCTTCCGATAAAGGCTTTTCATTGACTATCTTTTACACTTACAACACAAACGGCAATGAAGTTAAACTACTGCATAAATTATAAATATCACTATTCTGTGGCAACATAAAGGGCATTTCATAATACCATTCCAGAGCTTGTCTGTTGTCTATAGAATATTGCATTTAGGTGAACATTCATAGGGAGTAACGTGTAAAAGTGCTTTTTGCATCGCATGCTCCATTTTACACATACTTAGTTTGTTTTTTGACTTTCATACTATCTGATCTGTATTTTATTTGCTAGATTTTCTAACCGTACAGTTTAGTTTAGTATTTACGTATTTTGTTAATGAATTTTTCAAATCAATAAAGTGTATCTATCTATTTATCTATATTAAAAATATTACTAATCTAAAGCTTGTTTATTCTAGATACATATGATATATGCATGATTATGTGTTGCCATATAAATAAACAGAAAGGAAAACAGTATATAAATAGAAATATTTTTCTCTGCACTCATTTTTTTTGTGTTATTTTGTCATAAACGAAACAAAAAATGCAGACAGTCGACAAAATATATGACATTCCGTTGCCAAATCTCATAACGAAGTAACCAACACCCCAACGTTGTTTATGTATCGAAATATTGCCATAATTAAGTTTATTGTGCGAACATAACTGCCTACTCCCTTATTTATCGCTTCCATTTCCGATCTCCTTTATTTTTTTGTTTGTTCGCCGCTTCTTCATTAAAATATTCCGTTATAGCATTTATTGTTATTTGTATATACGGAAATTGTGTGTAAACCTGAACAAATGTTGAATTTTTTAAAATATTTTGTTGTTATTTTTAAATATTTATTGTATATACAGGGATATGTGGGGAAGAATATACGAGTACAATGGCGAACTACCAAAAACAGGTGTATCGAAGATTATTTATTAGTATTTGAATTTGCTAGCTATTTTATTATTACATTTATTAAAATTGAGATGCAATAAAAATATTTAACTGCTCCTTATTAAATTTCAACATTGCCTATTTGGTCGGCGCCAAAGTATCTTGGCACTTAGCCTCTTGGAGTAAACTCTGCAAATTTACTGCCTCAATAGAGCTCTATTGGGATTCTGGAGGTAGACGCAATTTACAGCAGTAGTCATCGCAGGACTTTAAGAGGTAATTCAGGGTGTGAGTGCTATACTTACTGTTTAAGAAATGTATTTTTAAATCGAAAATTTAGTTTGAAAACAGATACTAGATGGCGTTGTTGACAATGTAAGATTCGCTGTTAAGGTCTTCCTATGGTTTGATGACCTGCCCTTAGAGAATTAATGAAACGATCCTATCATTCCTACTGTATTGTGATTGTTTCATTCGACACCATCGGTAGCAGATTTTTGACTCACGGTACCTAGTTGTTCACTTTCTGTATAAAATAGTTGTCTTACTTATAGTTTAGTTTTATACAATAATATTCTCTATAACAATATATATTTATAATAGAAAAATGAATCGCCAAATGTGTTGCTAAGAGCAAATCTCGAGAACAGCTGTACCGATTTCGCTATTTCCTTTTTAGAATAATCCTTGAAGTATGTACATGGCTGGTTCGTACGAAGAAAAAAAATTAAAAATTGCCTGATAAAGTCTAAAAAAAATCTTTTTTTATACTTCCATACAAACGATTCGTAATAATACTTAAAAGTCAATTTGAACTTTAATACCATACCATAGAGTTCAAGTATTAGTGGAGAGGTTCCGGGAAGGCAAAACAATGGAGTGACGTGGCACGGCGTGTTTTATAATTTTAATTTTTTGATATAATGTAATTGTTGACTTATTAACTTTATTTTTTCTTTTTTTTTTATATCTTACTAGCTGACCCAGCGTCCCGAATAGCGGAATAAGTATTAAAAAAAAAATAAAAAAATTAAGAATCGACTGTTGGGTGGTACGAAGTTTGCAGGGTCAGCTAGTATGTACATAATATTTTCTTTTTTTATCTTATTAGCTGACCCGACGTCCCGAATAGTAATAATAAGTATTAAAAAAATAAAAAAAAATATTACGACTTTTAGGCGGTACAAAGTTCATGGGGTCAGCTAGTTTATTATAATTATCTTTAAGAGTATATTTATTACAAACTTTTAAAGTAAATATATCACTTTTTTATAGATAAAAATATACACAGGCAGACTTATACCTTAAAGGAATTTCTTCCAGTCAACCTTGAGAATTTAAAAGGAAAAAGTATGCATAGGATTTATATATAAACAATATTTATGGTGTAAAAATAACATGATAAATTATAAATTGTTTTATTAGTAGCTATGTTAAATACATGGATACAGTTTATTTCGTACAATTAAAATTTAATTAACACGGACACTACTATTATTTTTATATTGTGATTATATGTATGGCAACATTAATAATAGACAATAGTTTAAAGTATAGATTATAGAGTAGAAAAAAAAACAAAATGGATAAAAAATAGTGTTTGAGAAAAAAAAGGCGGGAAACTCGAATAAGAACAAGCGGGTTTTTTAAATTTTTTTTATTAATTTATTAAAACTATCTCTATCAATTCTTATTATTGAATAAAATATTATATTTTCACTAAATTCAGCGACAGTAATATAATTAGCATTCATGGGGAAGCGGAGTTGTAGAAAAAGGAAAAAAAAAGATGACGATTCAGGTGATGTAGACCATGAACCTTGTAATGACAAGGATATATATTCGGAAGATACTTCTACTGACTCAGAATCTGAAATTGATAAGGCCGATAAGTATAAACCTTACTACGTCACAGATTATATTAGAAGATATCCCGAGGAATCCCCTGGGACAGAATTTGTTGTCTTTGTAGAATCCTCAGATAGTCAGAAAACCATTGGATCCAGAGACTTGCTCTCACTCTCCTCCTGTTTAAAACGATTTAATAAAGGGGTAACTTATCTTAGATCTATAAATAAATTCAAAATCGGAGTATACTTTCAAAAGCCAGACTTAGCCAATGCTTTTTTAAATAATAAAACTTTTTTAAATGACTACCATTTTAAGGCCAGTATTCCTGCTTCTTCAACAGAAGTTACAGGCGTTATTAGAAATGTACCTACAAATATATCTAATAAAAAAATATATACTATGATATCGAGTTCTAAGAAAATTATTGCTATTAAAAGAATTTTAAGAAAAAATACCTTGACTCATGGATATGTGTTACAGCCAACTCTAACCGTGACAATTACTTTTGCTGCATCTGTATTACCTGAATATCTGGATATTGGAGGTTGGCGCCACAATGTCACTCCATATATACCACCAGTTAAACAATGCTACCGGTGCTTGAGGTATGGACATTTAGCTAAATTCTGTAAGAATTCTGAGCGTTGCAGCATCTGCAAAGGTGAGCATAATTATAAAACTTGTACAACTGGAATGGAAAACGCTATTTGTGTACACTGCAATGGAAATCACACAAGTGTATCACCGCAATGCCCTGTTAAACAAAAGAAAATTGCTGAAAATAGATCTAAATTCAGACCTGCTTCTTTTGGAGATATACTTAGCACTGAAATATTTCCTAAACTGGGTAACAAACCTAAAAAAAATGTAGACCTAATTTCAATTCTAAATTCTGATAACAAGAGTTTATCACTTTTAATAGAAAGCATAATCAAACTTATTTCACTACATAACACAAAGAACACATCTATTAACACTAAAAGTGTTTTGAATGTGTTATATGATACTTTTGGTAATAGACCTATTTCACAAAATTCAATCGAGACCAATTAACTATCATACAGTGGAACGCTCAGAGCCTACTGAGCAATCGACATATTTTTACACAATTTTTAAATGAACATCATATTCACATTGCTCTCATCTCAGAAACTTGGCTAAAACCACATTACAAATTAAAAATTAAAGATTATTGTATAGAACGAAATGATTGTGGTAATAACCACAATGGAGTAGCGATTATTATACATAATAGTATTAGATATAAAAAACTTCACTCTTTTTTCGACAATTCTTTGCAAACTATAGCTATTAGTATTGAAGTTAATAATTCTTGGTATTCAGTTGTCAGTATTTACTGTCCTACCAATAGTACACCTAGTTTTACTAAAGCCAAATTTAAGTTCTTTTTGGAGTCTCTTCCTAAACCCACTATCATATCTGGAGATTTAAATGCACATCATACTATATGGGGTTGTACCTCCACTAATACAAGAGGTAAAGACATTCTTGATTGTTTAGATGAATGTAATTTGGTACTATTAAATGATAAGCAAGTTACTACTGTTGGCTCTCATATTTGGAGACCCAATGGCCTTGATTTAACTATGGTATCCCCATCCATATCATTAAAATGCGAGTGGTCGGTTCATGATGATCCGTTAGGAAGTTATCACCTGCCGACTTTTACTAAAATAAACACAAAGAACTCTTCATCAACTCCGTCAGGTGAACAACATGCTCCTATAGATGAAGTTAATAAACTTTTGTTAAATCGTATAAACCTACGTCTCGTTAATTGGGATCTTTATTCTGAAACTGTTAATCAATTACTTTTGGATTTCGAGTATGATGTCAATGAACCCTTAAACAATTACAATAGATTCTGTAAAATTATTTTGACAGCTGTGGAACGTTCCGTTCCACGTAGGAACTTATCAAATAGAGGTGCAAATACTTCAAAGAGGCACAAACATATTGCAGTACCTTGGTGGAATAACAGGTGTGCGACAGCTGTCAATGATAGTAAAGCGGCTTACCTTAGGTTTAAACAAAATCCAACTCTCGATAATTACATAAATTTTAAAAGAGTTCAAGCTGTTAAAAAGTTAGTAATTAAGCAAGTAAGACAACAGGAGTGGCAGGAATTTTGTTCCAAATTTAATAGATTAACACCAATTTCCACTGTTTGGCAAAATATGAGAAAACTAAATTCAAAACATCGTCAAAATCATTTTAAAGATATATCATGGGTCAATGATTTTTTACGCAAATATACTCCTGATTTTGTACACTCACCTTTTGATGACAAACAGTTTAATTCTGTTAATTCATGCCCAAAATTTCTCACTGACCCATTCTCAATTGATGAAATATCCAGTGCAGTAAAATCTAGAAAAGATACAGCTAGTGGCCTTGATCGCTTAACATACAATATGTTTCGATTGCTGAATAAAATAAACCTTACTAAACTCTTACAAATTTTTAACGATTTATGGAAGGACTGTATTATCCCACCAGAATGGAAAATGGATTGTTTGATTCCAGTAATTAAACCCGGTAAAGATCCTACAAATTTCGACTCCTATAGACCTATAACATTGACGTCCTGTGCAGGCAAATTATTCGAACAATTAATTAAACAGCGTTTAGAGTTCTTTATTGAAAGTAATAGTATATTACCATCGAATCAATTTGGTTTTCGCCGTGGATATTCAGCGCGCGAAAGTTTAGCGAACTTCTATGTCGACCTTAGTACTGCTTTGAATAACGATGAATATGTTCTATCTGTTTTTTTAGATGTCGTAGGAGCTTTTAACAATGTAAATTTAACAGTTCTATCTTCGATTTTATCCTCATTTCTTCCAATGAAACTTATCGAATGGATTTATAATTTTCTTAGTAATAGAGAAGTGTATGTTAAAGTAAATAGTAAATTAATAGGACCTAGGTTAAGCTCTAAAGGAGTATGTCAAGGTGGTATTCTAAGCCCGCTACTATATATTTTATATATCTATAAACTTAATTCAATTTTAGGAAACAGTGTGAACAACTTGCAATTTGCCGATGATTTATTAATTTATATAAAAGGAAAGAATATTATTGATATGCAATTAGTGTTAAATGAGTCATTAAAAAGACTTGAGAAATATTTTTCTCTTCTTTCCCTCGATATTAGTTTAACCAAAAGTAAAGTAGTTGTTTTTCATCAAGTTCATAAATATGTTCCATTAATGAATATTATATATAATAATCAAACTCTTCCAACAGACTGTAGCGTTAAATTTCTGGGGGTAATTTTTCATCAAAATTTAAAATGGGATCTATACGTTGATTGCTTAGTAGATCGTGCTTTAAGAGCCACTAATATAATAAGATCTGTAATTGGTCGTAACTGGGGAGCTGATCCTAAAATTATCCTTTTACTTTACAAATCTCTTGTTAGAAGTAATTTTGATTACGCTTTCTTTTGTTATGCCTCAGAACATAAATTAGTAGAAAAACTCGAAAAAATTCAAAATATGAATTTAAGACTTATTTTAGGTGCTATGTATACTTCTCCAATTATCTCAATGCAAGTAGAATGTAATTTGCCTCCTATCCTTCTTCGTTTACCTTCCTAAAACTCAAATTTCTCTTCAAAGTTTTTTCAGTTTCCAATAACCCACTCATACTCAAATTATTAAATTGCCCCATTTCTATGTTTTTGAATAAAACTATTGTCAATGATTTGAATTTACGAGATGAATATAACATCTATAGTAGTAAGATACTTCCTTGTTATAATGGCCTTTATGAGAGTAAGTTCTGTAAAATCAAAATTGTTATACGTAAAGACATAAAAGAAAAGCACGATATGTATGAGACTTTATCAGAATTTATTGACTACAGGCAGATATATACAGATGGTTCCAAAAATGCACTTAGCACTTCAGTGGCTTTTTACGATTTGTCAAATAGATTTGGTCACGGTTATAAAATTTCAACTTTGGCTAGTATTTACACAGCAGAAGCAAAAGCTATATTTTTAGCATTAGAATACATAGAAAAACAGGTACTATATTCGAAATGGATTATAATTACAGATAGTATGAGTGTTCTTATGGCATTAAAAAATAACACATTCATTTCATCATCAAACTACTTAATTCAAGAAATTCGTAATAAATATTATCATCTCTGTACTATATATGGAAAAGATATTATCTTCATCTGGACCCCTTCACATATTGGAGTGTTTGGGAATGAACAAGTAGACACTTTGGCTAAAATTATTAATTCAAGTGCTGCTCGTGTTCAAGATTTACCCCTTTGTTACTCAGATTGTAGTATTGGAATACATAAAATCGTTACAACTAAATGGGAGGAGCATTGGACTCAAATATTACAGACTAAAGGCAAATGGTACCGCAAAATTAATTGGCGTATTGGAAAACCGTGGTTCTGCAAAGGAAAGGACACAAACAGAAAATTTTACACCAATATTTGTAGATTACGAATCGGCCACGGACATTTCAACGAACACCTGCACCGAATGGGCATGATCGCTTCCCCATCATGCACATGGTGTAACTCAAATACAGCCCAATCTCTACATCACCTTTTTTTGATTGCTCTGAATTTGTCATTCAAAGACACATTATGTTTGACGAACTTAGGATTATCTTCAAAAAACCCGAAAATATCCCGCACTCAATCCCGATTCTCTTAAGATTTCCTTCTTGTTTCAAAGCTATTTTCACTTATATTACTACAACATTCAAGGAGCTATAAGAATACTTTTATTGAATTGCAAGACAATGATTTTTTATAATTATTTATTTTTAATTTGATAAATCCACTGGTTTAAGAAAACTCAAGAAAAGATATTTATGAAAATGTACTTACCGGATTTGACAAATGAAATATTGAAGATTATGACAATAATTGAAGCGACATTAGAAAAATAAAATTCCAGACAAATTATCTTTCTGAAGACTAGGCAGCATGGTCTCCGACCTTAGCCTGTTCCAAACGGAACAAACGTACTAAAAAAAAAAAAATAGTGTTTGAATATTGATATTCTTAATATAGATGTATCTACTGGAATAAAATTAAATAAAAATTTAATAATAGAATGTGTAAAACGTAAATATTACATAAGTGATTTTTTTTTATACAACTTAGAATGGCAAACAAGCTGATGGCCTACCTGATGAAAAGTGGTAACCGTCGCCTATAGACATGAGCAGTACCATGGACATAACAGAGTATACTGTTTCGCCCATGATACCCCCATGCATTGCCATTCTTGAGGACTCAGGTGTTATTCCTCTGTACCCAGTAAATTCTCGCCATATCCCACCCTTCAAACTGAAACACAGCCATGCAAACACAAATGCTTCACGGTTGAAACACGAATGGGACAGATGTACCCAAGCAATCGTATTTTGTACAAAGTCTAGAATATAGAAGAGTACATAATACAAGCCACCTTTCTTTCCTGTAAGTATCATAAGAGGTAACTAAAGGAACTTAATGGTAGAGGAATAGGCAGCAGCGTCCCTTTTAAAACATTTCTTAAAGCCAAACTACAGTTGCCAATCCATCTGCCAAGCGTGGTAACTACTGGCAAAACTCCCCTTATGAGGAAGGCTTAAGACTTGAAGACTTAGCAGTGAACAATCAATGGCTGAAATGAAAGTGTAGACCACTGTGACAAAGAAATTCCAAATTAATACTGCTACACAGTTTATTAGCAAATTTTTAAAAATGAAACAAAAGACTGCACGAGATAATTATATTATCTCCACTCGTTCAAATTATAACAAACAAATAATATATACAAATTAACAAAGAAGCAAGATCCAAATGCAATTTCGATAATGATTCGTACACCTTTCAATAGCCGACAGTTTCACATAATGATTGTACAATTTTTCACCAAACAAAAGCGACCCGGGCGGGGAAAAGAAAAAAAAATACGGATACGAATTGAAAACAATTACGAAGAAGCAAGTTTCGCGTGATAACGACCCGGCCGACTTTGTCAACGAAAAAGGAGGAATTTTAAGCTTTTTTTTTTCCGTTGAATGGGACCGTTGCAAAGATCTTTGTGTCAAGATTAGACGGAGTTTCAAACTATTGGATTTTCTCGTTTTGAAAATATGTGCAATAAAGTGTAAAAAGCTCTATTGAACTCTTTTTCGTTCTTCGGTGTCGATCACAGAAGGAATATCACCTGATATCATAATGAGTTACGCAACAGTTATTTATCACTAGCTGTATCCCGCGGCTTCACTCGCGTACATCTATGAGCTAAATTAGGATATAAATAGAAAACGGGGTACCAAATTTCATTCAAATCTGTTGAGTAGTCTTTGCGTAAGAACGACAAAGATCCATCTAGCCGTCCATCGTCACAAGCTTTCGTATTTATTAAATTAATAGGGTTTACGCGAAAAAAAACATATGACACAGCTAATTTAAAATACGAAACTTCTGTTTTACATCACAGAGAAATACCCATTTCCCTGTGATGTAAAACATCCATATATTTCATTTGCAGTTTTTAAAAAGGATTTTAAGCTACGAAATATTTATTTGGATTAAAAAAAAGGAGAAGAACAAAATACAATGCGTCCAACGGTGTCAACCATAGAGTACTGTTCAAAATAAATTATATAACTGCCATAATATTCAATGTACTGCTAGGGCGAGACAGTCTTGTCAATTTTAATGAGACATGCTAAAACAACCATTCAGTCTGATCCCTTGCATTCAATATAAAATGTTGGACGTTCAGATTCTGTTCATCTGATGAATTTATTTATTTATTAGTAATATTTACTTAGTTTAAAACCGCATGACTGTGTTTTAGTCTCGAAGGAATGACATAAAAACTTAGTTTTCAGGAATGGAAACGTATGAGAGATGTTGGAGTCGA